TTCCCTGACTAGATCCTCACTGACCCTTGGCCCAGGTGCACCCCCCCTGGGGCATAAGGGGGGCCCAGCGGGGGGGGTGGCTGTTCTGGTCCTTGCTCAGGAAAATGGAAGCAAAGAAATCATTAAATACGTTGGCTTTGTGGTCTGGTGTGACAACCAAATTTCCTAGCATGTCCTGCAGGGGCCCCCACATTACCTGGAACCTTCTTTTTGCCCCCTATGTATTTAAAAAAGGACGTCTTCTTGTCCTTGATCCGGGAAGCTAGTCCTAGTTCCATCTCCGCCTTGGCCTTCCTGACTGCCCCCCTGCAGCCCTGAGCAACTGCAGTATAGTCCTCCCTGGTAATTAGCAGGCCCAGAATCTGGAAATATTGCATTTTGACTTGAAGTCTCTCAGAAACGTCTACTGCAGCAGTTACTTTTATGAGTCAGTTGTCTAGACTGGGGAAAAAAATAGTCCCCTGCTTTCTCAGATATGCTGTCATTGCTGAAAGAACCTCGGAAAAGACCCTCAGGTTGCCAAAAAGGTTGACTGTCCACAGGTAATGGTCTTTCCCCACAAAAAACAGATACATAACATTCATCCAAGAACCTTGCAATGATACAGAAATAAGTATCCTATAAATGAAGATACGCAAGTCCATTCCCAGCCATAAAGATGGACTAACTGACATAAATTTCACCAACCTCCACTTGCAAATGAACCTAAACTTCCACAGAGCCCGCAAGGCTGGAAAGTTTTGGAACTTGATCCTGGAGTCCACTCAGTCCTTGTGGGATGCAAAGGACCCAGAAGGCTTTCAGTGGGAGGCAGCCGGTAAAATGAGGATCCTGCTGGATGATCCAGTGGATGAACCATAATGCCAAGAGTTTAAAAGGTGCTCAAATCAGAGGTCCAACCCATGACAAAGAGGGTGTTGCTCTGATATCTTCCTCTCCTTCCTGGTTCTGGATTTAAGCAAGTGACAGATGTCTTGCTTCGTCTGAGTGAATAATGCATCCTGAAACCAGGAGAACTGTGTACGAGTGTCTGACTCAAAATAAGCCCTTCACAAGACAGAACTTTATGAAAACCAGGAGACAGGAAATAGCATCGTAGGTCCCTGAGGAAAAAACCTTCAGGTTAAGAGCAAGTAATCACCATGGGGTGAAGAGCAGGCCTCAAATGGTGCAGATGAGCATAGCAGCACTTCCCGTTCCTCCCAAAGTGACACAGCCCCTTCTCCGCATTTGCCAGTAGAAAGTGTTGCTGCCCTGGCAGTGTTTGCAGACTTAGATGACTGACAGATGTAGCCTTACGTGGTGGACACGGTAACCATATATTTGTTTTCACAGCAGAACGTTAGAAACTCTGATGCTAGTTTTGTGTCAGTGAGGATGGCTTTGTGATGGTGAAGTAAGACTGAACAGGTAAGAGTTGAGAAGGAGATACTGCAGACCAACAAGGGAAAAGAAAAGTCTTCTTCCCACTTAGAAATGGCAGTTTCACAAGGACAGTCTGTCTTTATTAATGGCCATCTCCCTAGACTACAGGAAAACTTGTCTGAACTGGTTTCCAAAGGTCAGAGAACCATGACAATACAGTAACAGCAGCTTCTGCTGCTTGTTGGGCAAGCATGAAAGTGAAATGTGTGCACGAACCACAGGGACCAGAGCAGTGAGCAGGCTCAGCTCCCTAGCTGCTGCTACTCAGTGACTCATTGTAAGGAAAGACCTTATTTTCTTCATTCTGCCTTTCAAAAAACAAGGTGTGCATCTCATTCCAGGGCACACTGTATGCAGGACATTATAGTACAGAGGGTTGCCTGGAAGCTAAATGGGAAAACACAGGGACCTAGATTAGGGATCTGCTGCCAGTGTGCGTCATCCTTCCCTGTGTCAGATCTTCTTAGTAAGAGTGTGGGCGAGAATGGCACTTTGCTGTCCCTGGCAGCCAGACAGAAAAATGTTAAGTATATGGCTTATGCTCTGGGTACAATAAATCAAAGTCAATCTGTAGATCTGATTTCTGTCCCTTTTATCAGTGGTCTAACCCATTCAAGTACCCATATCCCAAGTAACAGGAAGAAGAATTAAGGGAAAGCAATTTATTAATTATCCTCTTCCTATGGAATATGTTTAAGCCTTGCAAATTAAACTGATGAGGACTATGGGAAAACTTATCCTTAAGAAAATTATTTGTCACCGTTTACTTAAGAACTGCTGGCAAAGGCTCTGAGTCAGACTGCTGTGCAAGCTGTCAGGCAAATACTCCTAAAAGTCTGTAGGGTGAGGTGCACTCAAGCCTCAAAAAGAAAGTTTCAGAAAAAATGGCCAAGTATTTTTTTCCTTCAGTAGCACCTGGCTTTCTAAGACCCTCACTGCACTGTAAATTTGGCAGCATAAATACATAACTAGGCCACTGCAAATCTCCGGAGTACAAAAGAACCACTATCTATGAGTGGAGTTTATTGCAGTTTCTAGCAGGGCTAAGTTTCATCAGTGCAAATCTCCAGAGTCCACACTTACGGTTTACAGCAGGGATGTCAAACTCATTTGGGTCATAAGGGCCAAATCTGGACTGCAGAATTTTCCATGGGCTGGACAACTCATGAGCAGCAGTATTCCCCATAGCTGTTGAAGCTGCTACTCCAATACAGCTCTGAAACCCTGGGAGTTAATGCCACTGCTGCTCCCCCTGCCCCCTTTTCCCCTGAGCTGATCTATGCTGGGGCAACTAAAAAGCCTGATTTTAACAGTGTTAACTCCCTGCATTCCAGAACCATGCCCAAACAGCAGCTCCAGCAGCTGGAGGGATTAACACTGCTGCTGCAGGAGCTCCAGCGCTCATGGCAATGAGCCCTGCTGGCTGTATGTTTGACACCCCCGGTTAACACGAAGGCAGCTGTGCCAATGACTGACCATCATTAGCTAGAATGAGAGCCAATTCTGAATCTGGGCAAAGGAGGCAACATATTCAGCTTCCCTCGCCCCCACCTTATTTTCTTACAGGAACAAATCTGAGTTTCAGTGAAGGCTTTCACTGTTGGAGAGGAAAAGCCTAGCAGAAGGATGGTGAAAAGTAATCACAGGGAAAATGGAAGCAAGGAGTGATGACCCATTTGTAAAGAAATTCCTCCTGTTAACCACCAGGACAAGTCTCTGGAGCCAATGGACAAAATGGTTCTCTTCAAGAGGAGAAATTACTAGTCTCTGCCTGGATATCCTGGCTATTCAGATCTAAAATTTAAGCAAAATATTCTAGTCAGGAGAGAGAAGTGGGAGTAACTCCCACCTCCTTCCTCCTCCTGGCTACAACAGAGCAAAACTGAGGCAACAGTGGGAGAAAGAAATTATAACTTTGTCTTGCTTCAGAAAACTCTGCAATGTTGTCAGTACTCGTGGCTGTTTTATGATACAAGAAAAAACATCCCATACCAGACACTTGTTAGATCCCAAGTTCTTTTTCCACTCAGGAACAAGAGCTGAAACAGGCAAGTAACGGGATTTCAGAATAAGGCTTGGCTGCTTTCCCTAGAATACTGGAATATTTTTTAAAAACATTTTACCTTTATAAAAGTAGCATTTTTTCCCTGAACAGTGGTTTTAGCTGTTATCTGGAGCTGCTGGCATACAGGTATTAGCCTGTCAATCTCCAACAGAAGCAAAGGCTTGTCATCATCTTCTAGCTGAAATACAGTTCAGGACATTAGAGCCATTCAGCATCACAAAGAAAATCACCTACATGTCAGAGATAAAATGACCATAGGCTTCTAAGCAAGCACAAGTAATAATGTGAGGAAGCAAATGATTACGGGTCATGTATTACCTGATTAGAAAAGGCATGGAGAGTTGAAACAAGCTTTGTGGCCTCTGTAGCAAAAATCTGGAACAAAGTGGAACAAAAATAAAAGAGTTATTTTTACAAATACAGTGACAGTTTCAAGAACAGAGTACTACTTAGCAGAAGACATATGGGAAGCAAAATGCTAGAAAATAAAAAGACAGGGAAAATTTCTGACACTTTAGTAATGTGTAAAATTATACACGTTGGCTTGCACTCTGTAGTGAGTTTTGCAATGACAGGGTAGGTTTCAAACTGACATTCACTGATACATTTTAAAAGCTCTCTCTGATGATTCAGAGCATACACAAAGAGCAATGTCTTTTTAACTCAGAGGTTCCCAACTCTTTTTGTGCTGCATCCCTCTGCAAAAATGTGACAATGGACATCTATTTTCCTTGTCCCCATATGCTGTTCTTGATGCTGCAGTCCCCCATCCCAAAAATCTTCCCTTGTTTGGTTTCTCATCTTTTCTTTCTAATATTTAAACTCTTCTGCTTCCCTCCTCCTGCATCAAAAGACAGCAAAGGCAACTGTTTAGGGCAGGACAGAACATGACTAAGCTGTGCTCCTGACTCAACTGAGCAGCACACAGCAGAAGCCTATGCTTGAGTTTGCAGAGAGAAGGCAGGGTCCTTGAACGAGGCAATATATTCAGCTTCTCTCACCCCCACCCATCATTTTCTTTGTCCCTGCCTCCCTGCAAGTAAAGGCAGAGTTATAAAGAAGATGGTTTTAATAAATCTATTAATTGTAACAAACAAGAATTCACTGGCAACCTCATTTGTACTAAATCTGACACTTACACTGTCAACTCAATTTTTTCATTTTAGAATGTCAGTGTTTTATGAACACTGTGTTAATATTTTAGTAGTAGACCCTCCCAGCTAATATCTGAACACAAGGGGTGCCTGTACATGAGCATGGAGCCTGCTCCGACATGGTGTAATTACAATGTGTAGGAGCAGACTTGATTAACAGTCTGCTGGAGCGTGGTAATTACCACGCTCCAGCAGCCTCCTGCGTCTTGTGTATCAACATCCCCATGCTTCAAAATGGCAGCAGGGGCACTTGAACTAAAGCCTGAATGAGCTTTAGTTCAAGCGCCACAGCCACCATTTTGAAGTGCGGGGATGCTGATACACAAGACACTGGTGCTTACTAGAGTGGCTCTTGGAGTCATTCTAATTAATGCACAACACCCCCCACCCCCGCAACCTCCGGGGCATGTGTAAAAGTGCCCAAGAACGTTGGTATTCAAGAAAAATACTGCTTTACAGTCTCTGTGAACTTTTAATAATAAACATTTCAGTTACATAACTTTAAATTGCTCTACAACTTTGATGTTAAGTAGTGTAATTACAAACCGATCACTGATAGCATCTCAGACAATTTACTAACTCCTATTTTCTCACCTCTGCTTGATGAAATAAATCCTGAGTAGTTTTCAGCAGCCCTTCTCCTCTGAAAGTAACAACAGATACATAAGATTAAGTAGCAGATGAAATTATGCCAGCATGTCTGGCCCTGTATGAAATGCATGTATGTAGATCAAAGGCAGTAGAGGATTTGTCATTTTCAAATATTACATATTATATTAAATATTTCCTCCTATTAAAACTTTGCCAAAATTAGCTATTACATAGAGACAATCTGGTTATTTGTTTCAAGTAAATATTCTCTTAAATATATAACATCTACATTAATGCAACATTTGAGTTAAATATTTAAACAAAAAAAGGTGGGAGAAAGCAAAAGTTAACAATTTTCATAATATTAACATTGGACAGTGAACTCCATACAACTGCATGGCCTTGGGATTGTCAAACAGTGATGCTCTTACACAGAATAAGCACTTGTCCAAATCCAATGCAAACAATGCTCATTAAGTACACCACCCTGTCAATGCTGTGTTGTTACCCATCTCAAATCTCCACTCATTTTCATAGAATCATAGAAAGTTAGGGTTGGAAGGGAACTCAGGAGGTCATCTAGTCCAACCCCCCACTCAAAGCAGGATGCTCTCCAACTAGATCATCCCAGTCAAAACTTTGCCTAGTCAGGTCTTGAAAACTTCCAAGGATGGAGATTCCACCACCTCTCTAGGTAGCCTGCTCCAGTGTTTTACTATGCTCCTAGTAAAAAATTCTTCCTAATATCTAACCTAAACTTCCCTTGCTGCAACTTGAGATCACTGCTCGTAGTTCCATCATCTGTCACCAACATTGAGAACAGTCTAGCTCCATTCTCTTTTGAACCTCCCTTCAGATGGTTGAAGGCTGCTATTAAAGTCCCCCCTCAGTCTTCTCTTCTCTATAGTATAAGCCCAGTTCCCTCAGCCTGTCCTCTTAAGTCATGTGCCCCAGCACCCACCATTTTTGTTGCCCTCCATTGGACTCTCTCTGATTTGTCCACATCCTTTCTGTAGTGGGGTGCCCAAAATTGAACACAGTACTCCAGATGTGGCCTCACCAATGCTGAATATAGGAAAACAATCACTTTCCTGGACCTGCTGGCAACACACCTACCAATGCAGCCCAGTATGCCTTTAGCCTTCTTGGCAACAAGGGCACACTGCTGGCTCATATTCAGCTTACTGTCTGCTGTAACCCCCAGGTCCTTTTCTACAGAGCTGCTGCCCAGCCAGTCTGCCCCCAGCCTGTAGTGGTGCATGGGATCGTTCCATCCTAAGTGCAGGACTTTGCACTTGTCCTTGTCGAACCTCATGAGATTCCTTTTGGCCCAGTTTGTCTAGGTCACTCTGAATCCTAGCTCTACCCTCCAGCATATCTACTGCTCCCCCCAGCTTAGTGTCATCTGCAAACTTGCTGAGGGTGCATTTTCACAGCTTCTAGTACTCAATGTTAAGGCTGTTTATAGAAACCTTGCAAATGACAGGAGAGAACCACCCTGAGAATTACTAGATCTCCTCATTTTCAAGGCTTTTAACAGTTTCCCTTTGAGAGGTACTTCTCCACCTTTTTTAACATAGCAAAGCAGAGTATAATTACGCTACGAAGGAGACAGTGGAGTGTAAAATTTTCTATGCATTTAACCAATATACAGATAACTGATTTGTGATATAGTGGAAGCAATGAACAGATTAGGACTGTAACTGTTATATAGTTAAACAACACACTCAGCCAACAGCATAAATAGAGCACAACATTTATGTTTTTGATAGTCTAGTTGATTTCTGCTTGTTCCAAATGTTTCAATGTTTTTCAGTCCACCCCCAATACTTCCCACCACCACTTGAAAAGGGAAATTATATTTAAATACCCTTTCGAATGTAAAGTTTGGAAGGATTTTTGTTTGTATTTTTATCAGCAAGCAGAACCTTACGATGTTAAAAAAGTGGTTTCAATATTTAAATGGCAGAGAAACCTTTTCTCCTACAACACCCCAGCTGAAGCAATCAATTCTGTGCTGAGATACTTATACATGAAATGAAAAATTGTTATAAAAGCCCTTAATTGTAGCTTTTACTACTGTGACTGCTGGAATATAGCTATATTAAGATTTTAAGGAAGGAAAAAAGGAAGTTACTTACCAGTAACTGGAGTTAATCAAGATGTATTGCCCATATGCACATTCTTGCTTCTGGACAGGCTCAGTCCCTGCATGCCTGACATCAGTTTTTTTGCCTTAGCAGCATGTTAACGTGTGCTCTGCCCTAACCCCTAGTACTCCCCGGCACACAGCCCACCAAAGGGATAAAGGGCAGTGTGCTCTTTCTGCTCCTCTTAACTGCAAAGCCTTGTAGAGCTCAGCTGCAAAGAGAGGACTGAATGCAGGTTTCTGATATGTATGGGGACAATTCATGTTAAAGAAGTTCAGTTAAGGTAACTTCCTTTTCTCTTCTGAGTAACTCCACATTCAGAGTCTCACTTATGGGTGATTCTACAGCAGTGTCCTAACAGTGGGTCTGAGAGTTGCCTAAGGATATTTATTTTGAATAATGACTGGAGAACACTTGCAAATGCAATACTACTTCCTGAAGCCTCCAACACAGCTTCAGTATGCTGTGAAAAGCAACAGCTACAAAGCCTAGGAATTTCCCTCCTTGCCTAGGAATACCCCAAAGACCTCCTAGAATACCACTCAGAGACCATGAGAAGAGCTCTTCAGCCCACAGGAGGTGGAAATTGTAGGACTATGCTCAGAAGCAGGAGAATGAAGCAGAGTTCCACAACCAGCTTCATTAAGAAAGAAGATTAAGAAAGCTGGGATAGATTTTTGGGGGGCATAGTATGAAAAAGGAGCTCTGACTCTTTTGTCAAGGTATGTAATACATGAAATTGTTTGCAGTGTTCAGGTTGCAGCACAGAGTGGAAGGCATTTGGTTATCTCATGCTTCTGGCCTTTTGCCCATCACCATTCATGGTGGTTGCGCATGAGGGTTGTTCCCAAAGTTAAAGAAGCAGCTAGACAAACATTTGTCTAGAATGCTTTTGGTAGGGCTGATCCTGCCCTGAGCAACAAGTCAGCCTAGAAGGCCTCCTGAGATTCTTCCAACCCTACTTTTCTGTGATTCCATGATGTTTGGTGAAGGTATGGATTGGATCCCATGTGGTTGCTTTGCAGAGACCATTTATGGAGCCAGTGCAGAGAGGGCTCTGGGTGCAGCTTGAGCTCAAATGACTAGTAACACAGCTCCATTTTAGTGGTCTCATAACACAACTTTACATGGCTTAAGATCCAATAAGACAACTTCTCAGCTGAAACTGTCTTGCTCTTAGATATTTCTGTTGCGTCTAAAAAGAGCTGTGGGGACTTAGAGAGGGTCAGCCCTGTGTAAGTAATAAGCTAAAAGCCCTTCCACAATGAGCAAGTGCAAGGAATCTTTTGCCTGAGAAGAGTGGTGCTTTGGGAAGAGACTGGCAGAGTGTTCTGCGGACTGAGGTAGAATAGAAAATCTTTAACGAAAACTTTGGATGTATCCTTAAAGCTAGTCTAGGATACATGGAATAATGGACTTTTCCTCGAGGGACAGCTCAAGTAGCATTAACTGCAAAACTTGGTACATCTAGTGAAGCCCCTCCTGCAGATGGTGATGCCCCTAACCTTATTCTAACAGCAGCTTTAGCTGCAAATAAGTTTATTCTCAGATAACCCATTCTGCAAACAATGAAGAACCACATTTTTTATCTTTTTGTGATGAATAGAAATAAAATGTAAAAAACAACTCTTGTTTGTGGAAGATTGGTGCCCTACTGTTTGTTTACTTAAGAAATGGAGGCGGCATTGTTTGCCACGGCCCTGAAAACACCAAAGGAAGGCTATACAGAGGGAGAAACTGTGCTTCCTTGCCTCTGGAGATGCAGTCATGCACAGGTCCACTGAGATGACCTTTGTGAAGAACCTTGGAGACACCCAAAAGGAGGACCACACAGTTGTAATGGTCCTGCCCCCCAGACCATGAAGACACTGTCTGTGTGAACGTCATATAATTATGGAAATGACATTCTTTAAATTAAGTGATATAACCCATTCTCTTGCTGCAAAGATGGAATGGTTGTTGCTAGTTTATCCACTGTAAAGTTGAGCTTGCAAATATGCACAGTTAACTTTCTTAGGTCCAAGAGTGATCACCTTTCACTTTTAGAACCAGGAAATAACTGCTGTAGATTGCCTTCCTACTAGAGGTGCACTGATACATCCGTCTGAGTCAGATTGGTACAAAGAATTCAGATTGATATAAAGAAAACTGGCTGTGTTGGATAATCAGCCCAATGGGGCTGATAATTTGGCCAATAAATGCCCGTGATGTGCACAGCCACAGCACAGCACTCAGGCAGTGAGAAGCGCAGCCGGCAACTTGGAGAACTGCCTCCAGCTGTTAAGTCTGTTGTGGTGGAAGGGGAAGGGGGAAAGGAAGGGGAGTGGTGGGGGGCTGATAAATGCCCCCACGGTGAGGGAGGGAGATAGCCAGAGCCTCAGCTCGTGGCGGGGGAAGGGAGGCAGCTCCTGCTGCTGCTTGCACCTGGGATGGCACCAGAGGGGAGAGAGGGAATCACGTCCTCCCTCCCCCCAGATCTGCGTGGGGTGGGGTGGGGTGAGCAGCAGCTAGGGCTGCGCAGGGCTCTTCAAGCCCAGTCCCTGCTGAGGAGTGGGTGCCAGTGGCGCTGGGATGCAGCATCCAGCACACATTTTGCTGCCACTCTACTCCCAGTGCTGCCACTGCCAGGTGCCTGACACAGCCCCAGCACCTCTGGGAGTGGAGTGGCAGCAAAATTTGCATGGATGCAGCATCCTCCCAGTGTTGCTGGCACCCACGTTGAGCCCAGCCCCCGCCAAAGAGAGGCCTGTGCAGCCCTGGCTGCAGCCCACCATGCAGCACAGATCTGGTGGGCACACACCGTGAACCCCCCTTCCTCCCCCCCCACTGCCCTCCCCTGGTGCAAGCTGTGGCAGGAGACACCCCCTCCTCTCCCACGAGCCGTGGCCCCACCCCCACTCCCAGGGCAGTGCCTGCCCCTGCTCCCACCCTCACTGTGGGGGGCACTGATCTGCTCCCCATGTCCCTTCCCTGCCCCGTCCCACCACACTGGACTTACCAGCTGGAGGCAACTGCATCAGAAATCAGATCGGTAATGGCTGATACACCTCCTTAAATATCAGCTGTTGGTATTGGTTCCAAAAATCTCCATCTGTGCACCCCTACTTCCTACAGCTTCTTGCAAGAAGGGTCTCTGAAAAAAAAATGGGTAGGGGAAGTTGAGTGCATTTGCCTTTGATTCCTGCAATGACAGGGCCTTGCATATCAACTGGATGTGATCCTGGCTCATGCAGAGAGAAAGTTGAACAGGTGATTTAGAAGGGAGGAATCCCTGGAGGGCGGGGAGCAGAGCACCACGCCACCTCATGCCTCTGATTGGCTGAGGGGCACCACAAGTCCCATCCCTTCCAGGCATTGATTGAAAGCCCTAGCTGGAGCTGCCTGGCTTGTTAAATTCAGTAATTATCACTCTCTTCAAGGAGGGAGGGTGATTTATACTGAGTAGACAAACAGTTTAAGTGTGGCAATTAAACAGTTCCCCAAGTGAAAAGCTAGCTACCGGGCTAAAATAAAGCAAAGGAGAAGGGGACTTTTGGCAGGCTTTTCCCTGCTCCCCCTCTCCCCTCCTGGAGGCAGACACACAGGAACTTTGCCCACCCCCCTCTCCTCACCTGCTCCAGGTGCCTTTTTTCTGTCTCTGCTCCCCACCCCACCCTTCCAGGAAACAGCTTTTTGAACATGGCCAGTTCCCCCTGCTTTTTCACAGGGAACTGGCTATTTCATGGGAGACTGCCAATTACACGATTTCTGTGAAGTCTATGAAGTCGTGCATTTGGTAGGTACTGGTTCATGTGGGAGACCCATGTTTTTACTCCTCTTTTAGCTGAGAGGAACTGAACCAGCATCTCTCTCACCTTCCAGAAGAGTGCCCTCCTCATTAGGTCACTAGGCCATACCAGACCTCCCGAGCCTATTCCACTTGGTATGAAATACCCAAATATTTACTGGAGCAGGGAATGGAACCCCGGTGAGTCACTGGCCTAGAGTCACTCTGACCCAATGAATATTGCAATATTGCATGCAGAATTCAACAACTTTACCACATTGCCCAGTGAGCAGGACACTTGCATGGAAGTTGGGCAATGTAGGTTCAAGTCTCCTTGGGGAGAGAAAGGATTTGAACCTCCACATTCCTTGCACCAGCTGAGCTCCAGGAGAAAAACAGAGACACTCACTACACCTTGTGAAATGAAGGTCTGACTTCTTAACGGTCTGCCAAAGAAAGGACCAAATAAACTCCAGGATCAAGTCCTTGGTGGAGATAGGGACTCCCCCTCCAGCTCTTCTTTCAGCATCTCAGCGGCTATGAAAAATCTTAGCTTTTGTATTCCTTTAAGAAATCTTTTCCAGGAGGATCTAAGAGAACTGCTTGCCAAGAAAACAGTATCCAGTACCAAGAAGTCAACCAGACTATAAATTGATAGAGTAATCATGTTAGAATACTAAATTAGGAAGCACATAGATGAGTATTATACATACCCCTCTGAAATGTTCCAGCACTTTCTCTCTAAAACAAAAGGTTTCTCTGATTCCTGTACGCTATGAACACTTTTTTCCCCTAATGCATTTAGAGTAATTACCTGGTAAATAAGTACATGGAGTAGGCCATGCTGGACATGCTTTGCCCATATTGCACAATCTCATTTTCCTGGTCCTCCCATTTCTCTGTCTTCGAGTCTATATCCGAAGTGAGCAAATGCAGTTCTACTCCAAGTTTTGCAATTTTTGCTTGTTCCTATAAATGACACACTTCTTTTATTGTTTTTTTTAAACTTATTACATTCATTAGACTGATGTGAACAAATAATTAAAAGTTTCAGGACTGAACAGAAGGACGAGTCTTACCTCAGCATCAAGTTTGACTGGCTTTAATGCTTTCAGATTTGCATTGTGCTTCTGTTTCAAAAATAATTTGAAGAAAAAAGCTTTTAAAAATGGCATTGGCAACTGTACTAATTAGCTAATGAATATAAAGCCATTTGAATGCACGCTGCAGAACACAATTTTAGTTGCTCAAGCTCCCTTATCAGATTGTTCTGTTCAGGGGACAGGAAGTTTTTCCTATTTGGAGTTTTTATGCAAAATTCCTTGGGGTGCACGGGAGTGGGATTTATACCCATGGCAATAGCATGAAGCCCTCTTATTTTAGGCTTATGAATCTTCAGATCTCTTCCCCTTTCGCCCCCATATAGCAACATGATGCCCCTGTAATCTTAGCAATAACAGTAATTACTAAGTCGTGCTTGCTAAAATTCACACCAATGTCTTTTCCCGTCTGGGGTGGTTTTATAGCCATGGAGAGGTACTAACTTGCTAGCTGAACTAGGAGCAATTTTTTTGACAGCTTCCCAGGTTGACACCTGCCTAAAAAACACAAGGCAACCATCCTGATGCTAGTGAAAGCTCCTACTCTACTGCTCAATTCCTTACTGACTGCAGTGACTAGAAATTAGTATAAGAGTGTGAAGCACAGCCCTGCTGCTCCTCTCCTTCCACGGACTTGGCCTTTTTTAAAATCACAAGTTAATTGGGCCCTTGCTCACTTAACCAAAGTTATCTTACTTATATTTATGGAACATTCATGAATTTCAGTGTAAGCAAGGTTAACAGAATCTGACCCCATGCATTTTGTAAAGCATGTGGGAACAATGGAGCCTCAATCTTGCTTGGGGTTTCTAGGCACTAATGGCACATGATTATTATTGAAATTAATTCCCTCCCACAATCTGCCACTCACTGCTGTTTGAATTACATGGTAGCTCTTGCCAAAGTTCTAAATGCTTATTATAAACTTTATGAATGCATGTTCAAAGCACATTTATAGGAATCTCAGTTGTAGAGACTTGCTATGATTCTTCATAGGTACTGGAAATAGAAGCAATGCAACTACCAAACGATTCAATAAAAAGCATAAAAAAGGATAATACTGAATGCTGCGTAAGTTGAATTCGTGTGATATATTGTATATGTATGCTCCTGTCATTTAGATACATGGATACAAAAACTTAACACACTGCCTTTAAACAACAATTTTTTCTGCAAATAATCCTATATAAATGCATAGATCTGGGCTATATATTCGAATTATGAGGCATATTCAAACTGTTGAGTGAACGTTTTTCAAGAATGCAAGTACTGAAAATAAGTAACTATTATATTCTTAGCAGTTACTCTGCTTAAGAATATCATAACACGTTAGAATGATGGACTCAGGGCTGTCCTGGGAGGAAGAGGGCTTGTATTTGGGCAACTGCCCCAGGGCCTCACGCTTTGGGGGGCCCCGTGGAGCTGGCCAGAGTGGCAGCTCTGCATCCAGCCACAAAAAAAAACCCGGCAGTGGCAGCTTCTTCAGGTCCAGGGCCCGTGGGATTGGGGCGGGGCCCTGCATGGGCTGATCTGCCCTGGGCCCCGCACCCTGCTCGGGTCTCCTCTGGATGAACTAATACTCACCTGAGAGACAGCGTTTAAGAAAATGTTTCTTGTCTACGAGTTAGTCTGTGCGCTATTTACTGAGTTAATCTACACTACGGTGATAGAAGTTTAGGCATGAAATTACAATACTGTTCTGGTTAAAGCAAGGTTTGTCATCTTGAGCATAGGTCAGATCTACAGATGTTTTCAGCGAACCATTGCTTCTGCTATGCTCTGGCCAACGTAGTCCAGGGACATGGGACAGAATTGTGACTTAACTAAGGCCCTTGGCAGACATGCAGGTCAAGCCATGACAGTATCTGATGCACAATCCACCCAATCACACTTCCTACGATCATGGCAAGAGGCATGATTATAGGATCATGCATCAAATCTTGTCACACTTTACTGCCAGTGCAGGGTGAGCCTGGGATCATGATCCTGTGCTCCCCCAGTATCAGCAAGTAACAAGCTCCTGCAGCTGGGAGTCCTGTCAGCTGATCTGGGCTCCCAGCCACTGGGGCACACCATGTGCTCTCACAGCTGGGAGCCTTCCCAGCTGATCTAACATGCACCATGTTCCCAGCTGCAGGGGCATATCAGGTATACCCTCACAGCTGGGAAGCCTGTCATCTGACCTCGCCACACCTTCAATTAATGAATGGCATTGTAAAAATGAGCCACAAAGTTATTAAACATTTTTTGTGGAATAACTTTGTGGCTCATTCCTTGTTTTATGATGCCATTAATTGTTTTAATGTGTGGCTCAGTTAAAATTTAAGACGGGATTAACTGTTTAATCATGCCTTAAGTATAATGTGTAGCAGGGGCCTGAAAGAGTTTTATAGCTGGAGTCATTCCTGACATACCTTTTATGCTAGGATAGGTCATGGTCTTTTTCATAAAGGTATGTCATCTTAAGATAATTTGCAAAAGCTTGTAAATAAACTACACTACTGAATAACAATGCTAAAGATTATGCCCTATAATCAGGTTGTGACCCACTGACACTTACTTTGTAAACATGATAGATACTTAAGTCACAAATTTTTCTCCTTTAGGATCACTGTTAATAATTCTTTTTATTAAATATGTTGATGTACTTGGGACTGGTGTTCTTCATAATAAACTGGACTAATATAGGTCTAACCTGGGGGTGGGGGGAAGAGAGCGAGAGACTGACTACCGGGTTATTTTATATATAGATAACATAAATAAATAGATAAATAAAAGCAATGCTAATGTGCCAAATGAGTATGTTTTAAGTTGACCCTGGAGTTCAATAACTTAATAGCCTGGGTGTGACATCTTTCAGGAAAGAGAAGAGTATAGAGGGGTAGGGGGGATAACAAAAGAATAAGCACATAACATACTAGTCCCAAATGTTTCCTGACCTTCCCAAAAGCTGCTATTTTGCCTGCAGAAACTTTTTGCTTAAAAAACCCGTGTTTCCTTTGTACAAGAAGAAAAGAAAAAGATTTTATTAAGTAGTAGTGATGGGGTGTGTGCATGCATGTTTAATCCAGAGAACTTTTTCATTTCCTTTATTGGTTCCTCATTGGGGATTTTGCTAGTTTCAAAACTCCTACAAAAGTGCTACTTTTGAGGATTAAAGGAAAAAGAACAAGGCTGAATTCAGACGAGCAGGGGCATGCGCCTACAGTAGCACAAACAGTCTCACCTGACGCTCCTGCTTTGTTGCAGAACAAGTTATCCCACAATGGGCAAACTGACCTTGCCCAGCTCCTCCTGGCTCTTCAGCCATGGCGAGATGGAGGCTGGAGCCAGTCCCTGTGCTGGCCCCAGCAGTCTTACCTGGTGGCATACTGGAGCAGCAGGGAGAGCATGAAGGCCCAGCCAGGAGCCAGAGTATTGGTCTGGATGGCCTGACCTCCATTTGTGTCAGCACACACTTGTTTTCTGTGCTTTGTGTTGTTTTCATTTCCAGGAGGGTTTTTTGCTACTGGGAAATCCCAGCAGCCAATTTTGCCACCACCCTGCAAGTTTACAGTACATGTTTTAACATTCAGTGCAAGTGGTTTGTGGCACCACAAATCACATGCCCCTGCTCGTCTAGATGTGGCCCAAGAGTCCACACTGGGGTATCTGCATATCTACGTTAAACACATACCAAAGGTGTACATGCATTTTTATAGATTTGTTCTCAACATGTTACTCATAAGGGCAGACAAGAAAGATGGTCTTCACAAGGCAAGAGCTGGAAACCACAGCTTAATTTAACTCGAGACAGAAGAGCCTTTGTAAGAACAGGAGCAAGACTATTTCTCCACCAGGAAAGCAGCTCAGCTAAGATAATGATTTCACTTTCTAAAGATTATTTATACCTGGGTGTTCAAACCCTGGCCTGTAGCGCTGTGTCATCTGGTCCACAGGGTTTCTCATGGGTCCAGAAATCTGGTGGCAAGAGACCAGTGGCACCACTACCCTGCTGCCAAATTTCTGGACTTGTGGGGAGCCCCTGGCCCCATGCACTAGATTGGGTGCCTGATCCCAGCATGCAGGGCTGAGCAAGAGTAGTGCCAGGCCCCCTGGTCCCAATCCCAGTGCATGGGGGAGGCAGGGAGTGGTGCCAGGCCCCCTGGGCCCAATCTCAGCATCCAGGAGTAGGAGGGGGCAGTGCTGAGCAGCTGGCCCAATTCTGGCACACAGCACTTGATCAGACTCAGACCAGCTCTGCTCTACTCATCTGGCTTGTGGGGCCAAAAGCTTGAGCGCTGCTGTTTGCTATATGTAAAAAGTCCTATTAGGATAGTTTGCCCAGAGTGTCTCATTACAAAGACAATGTATTACAAAATATTATAACTAATTAGAATCAAGTTAGAATGGTCTAAGTGATAAGAGTACATGTTAGATTTAGTTTAATTACCCTGGCTTTTTAAAATCCATCTACTAAGATATTATCTAATTCATAAAAGACAGTAATTCACAAAGGTCCACAAAATCAAAGTGTGCTTTATTAAGGTTTTCCTGCTCATATCTTTACAGATTAGTTGCTACACCAATATGTAAGAAGTTATATGCCACTGGTAGGGAGTCAGTCAGTTAAACTGATGTAATGCAACTTTTACACCAAGAGAAAACACAACCCCTCCCACAACAAAAAAACAAACAAACAAAACTTACCCCTGGTCTGGGCAGTGATAGGTACACACGCTTCTCTCCTAAGAACAACACACACATTTACACCGAAATTTGTATGCAGGTTTTAATTAATGGAATCATGCTTATAGTTATACCCTCATCTTCCTATAAATTCAGTATGCTATAAAAGAAAATTACTCACCTCCAACTCCTTCATTTTGATGAATACTCAGGATTTTCACTCCTTGTTTTGTGTTTCCAGACACAGACAAGCAAGTAACTCCCCTACTGTTTAGATTTTTAGCACTAACTGGCTGATGAGCCCAAGCCCCTCCCTGTTCAGTCCATATGAGTTTACAGTGCCTCTAGTACCCTGGACTCAATGCAACCCTCAAATGCACTGGAATCAATGAGACACTTAAAAGGAAAAAAAAAACCCACCACCCTGGACACACCCAATGAGATAACCCACAAAAAAGTATACCGAATAAATAAAATCAACATCTGTAAAAAATAAAAGTCCAAATTTCTCAAGGTGGGTGGATAATCTGTACCTGCAAAGAGTTATTATGTGCAAGTAATTCTCTTTCTATAAAAGCTACCATCACATCATTCCCACTCCTGGAGGATAAAGAGTGAAGGTCTCAAAATCTGAACAAGTAATGATAGCATTAAAGTTCACATGCATCTACAAATGCACACATTTCAGCATAAGTAGATTATATAATGGTAGTTCAGTGCAAATAAGTTGACACAAGTTAGGGATGGCTGCAATATTCAACAGCAGTGAAGACACTCCAGAGTGCTGCAGTTTGTTCTAAATGAGTATTAATAAAACTTTTTACTGCATTGCATAATTTATACTTTGAATAATCCCCCCCACCACACACACAATAGAAAAAACAATTTTATAAATTCATTTTATAGACTTTTTATTGGAATTATTGTTTTCTTTATTTCCTGAAAAGTTAGGTTCCATAGTTATTCTAAGTCAGATTGCACAAGAGTTGGTGGGGGGAATGAAGGGAGGGAGGAACAAACCTTAAAATACATGTTCTAATGCCTCTTAGGAGTAACCTAAAAAAGGAGTTGGATGGTTCCTGGGACTGACAACCTTTTATAATAGTGCCAACTGCTGGATATGCATTGTTTTTGCAATTTCCCCATGCAATGTGACTAATGGAAGAAAAGCTCTGATGCTTTCCTTTTAAATACAATTGGTGAAGAATATGCAAATATAGATAGTACAGACTTCTTCACCCTTTCAGACAGGTGGCCACAATGATAAACATTTGTGGCATTCTGGCTTCCAAAAGTAGTTGGAGAAGAATATTTATAGAACATACTAAAAATAGTAATGCCTGTATTATATTTGGCATAGTGTGCCTTGTAAAGGTTTGTGTCTTCATCAGGAGTGAAAAAAAAGAAAAGAATCAGTTACTAGAAAAACAGGAGCTCTGGCCACCTACGTTACTAATACACATCCCTGGTGGGCCAAACATTAGCACAGTAGTACATGAGTGAAAAAGGGCCAAAGTGCCGTAGGAAAAGCATGTACAAAAACACCAGGAAAGAAAACCAGTTCAGAAGTTCTGAGTAGGACTACCTTGGGGCTGTGCGCCACACTGAAAACCTTTGCTAGCAGATAGTCACTTCAAGACAAGTTCAACATGCCCACAAGAACACTAGAGACTGAAACTAAAGCAGTAAATCATTGCATAAAGAGGTAAAAACCAAACTGCCAGGAAAGAAGAGAAAAGTTGCTACTGCTCTTTCTGGTGTTTCCCAATATGCACTTTGGTGAAGAGCCTCACTGCTGACTACACTTAACAAAAATGGGCACAAAGTTTCTGGAAAGAAAATGGGCACTGGTAGATGGAACAGGCACAGAAGGAAAAAGGGGGACTCAATTGTCAGTGCTTTAAAGGGTCAAAAAACTGAGAGTTAGAGGAGTTCCCAAGCCTGTCAGACAGTGGAAGCTAAAATATCTTTAAGTGAGAATTTTGCATTTGGTTTCTGCTGCTCAGGCAGGTGGTATCTGAGAATACTCCCTCCCCACCCCCTCCCCCCTTTTCTTAAATCGACTCACTAGATGCAAGGTCATACATTCCAAAGGTAAATTACTCAAGCCAGAGACAAGTCATGCTTGACAAGGAAATCACCCAGATCAATTTAATCATGGATTCCATATCCGTAACATGAAGGTAATGGATAAACAGAATTAAATACATGTAAATAAAGTAACATGTCCGAATCCAACTAACTTTCTCTTAAAACAGTAAAAAGAATATTACTTATCTACCTTCCTTTTGTTCTTTTTTCTCTTTTTCTTTATTCAATTTTCTCTTTTTCTGGTGTATTGTTTCCTCTTTTTCCACCTTCTATTCCTCATTTCTCTCCCACTTTCTAGTAATTCTGCCTTCATTTTCCTTATATTTTCTTTCCATCTCTACCATCTTTTCTTGTTATAGTCTTGCCTCCTTTTCCTGTCCCATGTCATGCCACCTCAACCCGGTCCCTAAGCCTACTCCTCTTTCTTCCATCTTAACCCAGTCTAAGTCTATTGCCCATGCTTGCCTACCACATCCATTCACTACTCTCCTCCCCAAATCCTAGCATCTAATCTGCAACCTCAAATCAAACAGGTAAAGACTTATAGAGGAAGAAAGGGAAGGAGGGATATATCTTACCAATTCTTACATCAAAGGCCAAGGCATGGGGAACTATCAGATAATTCTTCTTTCCTCCCCTGCACAAGACCAGAGCAGGATTGAAGGAGGCAAGGTAACTAAGCAGCATTATGCTTAAATTTCAGCAACTGCCAATGTTTTGCTCTCTTGCTCTATTTATCTCAATGAGAAAGACACCTAGTTACTCCAGCTGAGGGACTACAATGGTCACAGTGAGCCCAGCTCTCCCTTCCACAGGGAGGGGCAGTCTTGCAGGCCGGACAACGAATTCTCACGTGGTATGGACCGGGTTACATTGCTGTCTAGAACAAGACTGTTCAGCACAATGACCTAAACATGGCCAATGTGTAAAATGGCACAATTTAATTAAAATAAATGGAACGGTATCATCTCGCCCCAAATTTGGGATCAGTTTTCTTATCTCAGTATGCAATGTGCATAAGCTTGCTGGTATTTTAACAAACACTAACAAAATCAATTGTGCACCTGCTTATCCAATCAACAGATGAGATACAGACACATTTTGAATCAACTACAATTTACAAGTATCGAATACGATTACTTTATTGGACACAGCCAGCACATTTTGGATGCCCTTCAGTCTTTGTCAGCAGCAAAGATTTCTCTCTCTTACGATGTTAAAAACTCATTCTAAAATGCTCCCCACAGCAATGTAAGATCTTTACAGTTACAGTACAAAATTACATTACTTTAAAAATGCAAGTTTCTAAATTAAGAAAATATACCATCACCCCACAATTGTATTTTGTATTATGAAGACTCAGTCATGTTTCTAATCAAGTACTCGTTACATTTTTACAATGGGATAAAGAAGACTACCAGTTTCAGCATTAGAATGAGCGGTGCAACTCAGAAGAAGAAATTAAGATCATATGTTAATCCAGTATTGTGAAACACTACATTCTGACTGAATATGAACACTTATCTGATTAAAGGATTAATAATTTCTGTCAAATAAACAACTATTTTGCCTCATTTTTCATGCATCTTCAACTTGCTTCTAAGAAGATAACATAATGCTGAACCCACTAAGGTGACTTTCATGATATTTGCTGGGGACTACTTATAACAAGTCACTTTGGGGAGTCTAAAGGATCCGGATTATTTTAAACAATAAATCAAATGAAATGAAACATAATAGAGCTCATATAAAGGATTTGCCCATATGTCTCCAAATATATTTCTAACAAACTCTTTTGAAAAAGGATATGTACATACAAATAGTTAGTCATAATCTTAAAACTCAGTTATGTCCCTCTGAACACTGAGCCACACTAAGAAAGAAAAGCACTGCCCAAGAGGCAGTGAACGCAGGCATGTCTGCCTCAGCCATAATGCTCATTAAGTGCTGTAATGAAATATTTCCCTTGCTTGTAGAGCTGATAGAGTTGATATTTGTTGTGCAGCCCTAGACTGCTCCATGGAATTGGGTGTCTAACAGTGCCAGCCAGTGTTATTCATCACCTTCCTCCACTTCAAACCTGGCAACCATATTAAGGAGTACTCATGCATAGGTACTCTAAAAAGTAGGGAGAAAGGTTCCCAGGTATCATATGCATAATAACCTCCCTGCTGTGGAAAATGCAAGTGAGCTACAGTTGAAGTCAACAGGAATATAGACTAAGCAACTGCAACTAACCTGGTGTGCTGGGAACATCCTCCTCTACCAGATGTCAAGGACTGCATTTATCTACATGAGTGCTGAGTCAGTGCTTTGCTGTATAACAACACTGTTCTATGCTCACGTTTTAAATACGATTAAATAAAAAGCAATAAAGTTTTGTACTACCCATTAGACATTTCATCACTACATGAAAATTCAATATATTTTATCTGCATAGTAACACTTGAACACTTCTAATTTTAAATAACTTTTAGAAAGTGTGCTTAGTATTAAAGGTGATAACATTTATTAACAGAAAGAAAAAGGAGTCATTTGGCCATAAAACTCACCTGCAACTCTAAAAAAATCGTCTCAAAGGTATCAGGAATTGCTACCTACATAGACTTTCTTAATGTTAACTCTTCTCAATTCTTGCACCTTAAGTATCTCCTTCATGATGAATCAAAATGCAACAATAGCACTTTGCCTACTATATTTTTGGTAAGCACACTTTATTTCCATTAACCTAAATGCTGAGTTCACCTAGTCTTGGCACTAATCCTATAATGTAACGTTATTCTCAACTCCTATACAAAGGTCAGAGATGGAGCCGAGTGGTCTTAACTTGTAGGATCAGGCCTTTCAGATCCAAGGAACTGTTACATCTTTACAGTATTGTAAATGAAGGGGAGTGACTGGGGCAGCAGCCCTAGTTGCTGCCTTTGGAGAGGGAGGGAGATGCAAAAATAGCCACCACTACAGCTGGTGGCCGGGTGCACCGCTGCCCAGGGCACAGAGTTGCCTCATTATACCTCTGAACCTTCAAAACAGGACTCTAGAATTAAGATGAAGAACGTGTGAAAAAATCACAAACCCATGAGTTTCATATTCCTGACTACTGTGCTATCCACCACTTACTTGTGCTCATAGTATTATTTTGATACTTAAACTATCCTTGAAAAAATCCTACAGTTAGTGGCACGATGTATGAGTGACAAACTGGTGTCTAATCTGGTTCAGAATATAAAATTTTAGATATAAAAAGGGTTAAATCCCTGCATTACGTTTTTAACTAAATCCTCACATCATTTAACCTGAGCAATTTTCTTAAAATACATGACATTCGGTATGTTGCATATTGTACCTCTATGCAATTATAACTGAAGAATAAAACAAACATTTAACTGCAGAAAAGTGAAATACCATGCTGCACTGAAGGCAAACTTTTTGGAAAAAAAATAAAATAATAAAAATTAAATACCAGAATATCTTCTTAAATTTTCAAAGCAGAATACCATATACTAAAAATAAACACAGATTTGTTGTTAAAATTTCATGGCTCTATTCTACATGTTGTACAAATACCAGTTAACTTACCAAACCAGAGAAAATATTCCAAGATTGTGTGAAGTCATCAGAGAGACAATCCATCCAGGAGAAAGGATAGCAGTTCAAAAATCAAACAACTACATTCACTACATTATGAAGTGAATAGAATTCAAGCCGACAGTACAGAATAAATAAATGTTTATTTTCCATGAATAGTGGATAATAAAAGCCAGTTGGAATTGGAAAATATTTAAAAAAAACCTCAGACTACACTTCAAACTACACTGAAATAATTATGACTAATCATATTAAACTCAATGAAACTAAACTTGGTATACAATTCAAATAACTTTCTGTTTATGATTTGTGAGACTTTTGATTGGTATCTCAAGCTGACATCAAGTCACGACAGGAAAGGACAAGAATTAAAATGATCCCCCTCCATCATTTAGGGCATTTTTTGACATGTGAGACACACAGCACCAAGTGCTTTTGAAAGAGCCAGGTGCTGTGTCGCATGCATTTGTATAAACAGCAAAATGCACGTCAGCGCTGGGAAAATGGCAATGGCATGCTTTAGAACTAAAACACGTCAAAGGTGTGTACTGACATGCATTTCTTTGTTTATACTAATGTATGTGACGCAGCACCAGGGACATCAACTCGCATGAGGAACAGACTTGACTAATTGAGTCTGCTCTGACGTGCTGGATCTCTGGCACATCACAGCATGAAAAAGGTGTGTAAACGCCCGTAGAATTCATCTCTGCAAAGGCTCAGCAAATGATTAACTTTCTTCACTGTGAGTAGTCCCCAATGAAATCAAATTAAACTATTTTCAGTGCAGAAAGACACAAATGTACTTAAGCCTTTGTAAATCCCATTGTCTTAGCCTGTAAAGCCAGTAGTTCTGTAGTGTGTTGTATGTAGCAAACAATTATACAGACAGTAGATGGGAGTACAAATGAACGTACTGAACTGATGTGTTATCAGGCAGGTACCAAGCTGTTATGTTAAAAAAAGACTATTAGTTTGGTATCCATATGAAGAAAACACAGTATTTACTAGATCACGTTAGCACTGCAGTTAAACTATTTGGAAGGCAGTCGTGTTGGAAGCCGTTTTGATATTTCTAAATGGCATTCTTACCTCTTCTCCCCTCGAACACATCATTAATTTCTCTTAACAATATGGACATGTCGCTCAGTTGGGACTCCCAAGCCTCACAAAATACATCAAGATTTTCTTTTGCAATCTTACTAGATGGATGTAGTGCCAATGTTTCTGCAGCAGAAATGATCTAAAAGGAATACACCAGGAAAGCAACTAATGTTACAAAAAGATCAGGCAATTGATGTTACATAGCAAGTTGCAAAATATGTTACATACCAAGTTCCAAAACTTACAGACAAAACATGAAACCATGTTGTATTTTAATAAAAGTGTTAATATTACATCTGTTTAGTAAAGAATAACTACCATTCTAAGGCCTTAAGTAAAAACATGCTCTAATTAAACTATGCATTCACATACAACAACAAAAAATTGTTCTGCTATATAAAGTGAAAATAACTAACAGTCTGTTGTGTAAATTCCAATCTTCGATCCTGAAAATTATTACTAACTTGCATAATCCTTAAAGGTGAACTATTTTCATAAGTAATGATTACTTATGAAACGATACTTTTGGGATACTGATCTACTGCCTGCTAAAACTAAGCATACAGCATTTTCCTTTCCTTCACCCTTGTTTATTTTCTGTCAAAATTAGACTAGTTATCTAGATTATATAGCTTTTATAAAAAATTACTAATACTTAAATGCCTAATAAATACTCTGTTCCAAGAAGGTACTTTTATTTTCTAGAAGTATCTGCAGGCAGGTATACATATACACACAGAATGAATGCACAAATAAGTAGGTGTGACACCGCTACCTGTAAAGCTGCAGTACTTGGTCCAGTACTGTTGCACTTAAGAATATTTTAGTTTACCTGTAGTTGTTTAGCAGAATTACAGGAGAATTTACTTAGTGGTCCTACTTATAAAAATAGTCAGCCTTGTAAATATAAAGCCACACATATATACTTAGTAGTACAGTAGTAGTATTAAATGCCATATTGTTAGGTCCCTGAAGTGGTAGGTATACCATTTTTACACAGGTGCATAATTTTCATACTTAGGTATGTATGCAGGTTCTTTATGTTTCTAGGTTAGAGTCACAGATATGCAGAAGGTCAGACAATCCTATGTACCAATGAAGCCTTCAAATGGCATTTGTGATTCATCAGCCTCACAATGATGCTCTACAATGCAAGGGTGAAAAAAAAAAAATCACCCTGTATAAATGAGAGAGAACAGTCAAATCTCTGGGTGATTGTGCCACTCTGCAACATACTTGCTGGCATACTTAGGACAAAGCACTCAAGCAAATAGTCTACAGTGGATAACCCTAATGGATCCAGCAGTGGCATGATAGCATAGGGGCTCAGAACAAACAGTCTTCTTGCTGCAGACCTGGTGGGGAGAAGGATGCCTGGTTATTAAGAGGTGACACAGTGAGGGCAGCTCTGTTCTACAGCAGTCCTGAGCTGTGTAATCAGCCTCAAATAGTAGGTATAATCTAAAATCACTTCAAAGAGCTGTGAAGCTACTTTAATAATCCCTGCTGGGAAAGTACATTGGGCAACAGGGGCTTTCTGGTACTCTCTCACATCAGTCATTCTGTGCCCTGGACATATGCACTGTACTGGATCATCTCCCAAAGTGCATCTGCTGCCTCCCTACTAAAATATTCCACCTAGTTTTTTGTAAACTGATTGGCACATTTGAAAGGTATACACAACCACTTCACAAACTTCTATTTACATATAATCAGATGATAGCTCAGCATACCTGTGGGCCGGTGACCCGAAAGGTGTCTTCTGCATGTATGCAAGTAATTTCAAGTGGCTCTGTTCCAGAAACATGCCTCAACAAACGACACATCTAGGAAAAGTAGTTATTCTCTCTTTAAAATACAGTATTACAAATAAAATAACATCAGCGCAGGGCAGCAAATATTACTTTATTTTCACTGCTGAGAAAAGGTACCAAACCTATTATGTGACAGATTTTTCAGAAATAAGATCTAGATGCATGTTATTTTCTGTGTGGGGGCACATCCATACACCCACAGTGTCATGGACAACTGCAAATTGTGACAGGTTGTACAATCTTGATCTCTAGGAGCATTGCTTGACTTTGCACATAAAATAGCAATCTTTCAATGATTTTTTCTGTACAAGGTTGCCGTCTAAAATGTTTAAGTATTTTAACGCAATAGAGAGGATATGCAATCTTGTCAAGATATTATGAGCACTGTCTTTCATTTCCTGATAGTTGATTAAATTTTAAATGTAGTATATCAATGCTGTATTAACACGAGCTTTTCATTTAACTTCTCTGAACCAAAGTAATGTTCTCATATGCAAATGTTACATTCCCACCAAAATCAATAGGAACTTATAAACATGCATCCAAAGGTAGGATTTTGTCCTTCCTTTTTAAGAGAAAACAAAAAGAAAGGGAGATTTAAAACATTCATCTCTATTATGATTTCACAGTTTTTACATCCACAATTGAACAAGTTTCAAAGACTAAGAAACTAGGCACCTATGTAACTCAGTAGCAAAAACTAACACAAGAGCATTGCAAATTATTTAAACTAACCACTACCATATACAGTATTCTGAAGCCAAGTAACCATCATAAACTGCAACTGAGAAAAAAAAAGTGTCTCATTATGTATACAAAGAAGAGTATCACTTCTAGGGATATTTTACTCCTCCTCAAATTTCATTTTATTCAGTGATCACTAGTCATGTGGAAAGTTTCACAGTTCATCTGTATTTGTAGATTTCTGCTACTCTGGGAGCAAAATATGTTCAACCATATGTGAGCCCACCTTTAACTCATCTTTGTACTGATTAGAAATACATACATTTAAAGAGAAATTCTGAGAAAGTTATAAAACACAGGAAATGCATTATGTAACCTGAACTTGCAGAATTCAGTACCTGAAAATGGTATTACTGTTGCATATGCTCTCTGGGTTTGGACAGACGTTCATTTGAAAACTTCCAGGAAGCAACTTCCCTGGGTAGTCCGTTTCACTGCCTCACCCTACTAACATTACAGAAGTTCTTCCTTAGATCTAATTTAAATCCAATTTGCTGCAATTTTAAGCCATTGCTTCACATCCTGCCCTCTGCAGCAAGAGAAAATAGTTGTTTGGCCTCTTCTTTATGGCAGCCTTTCAGATACTTGAAGACAGTTACCACGTCCCCACCTCAATCACCTTTCTCCAAGCGAAAACTGCCCAGTTCTCTCAACCTTTCTGCTTACCATCTGCCTTCCAGTCCCTTGACCTCTTTTATCCCCTGCCTCTGGACCCTCTCCAACTTCTCCACATCCTTCTTTAAAAGTACAGCCCAACCGTTCCCACTATTCTCAATGAAGCCAAATAAGCACCAAGTAGAATGGCACCTATCACTTCAGTCTCCACCCCAGAGTACTGAGGGAACTGGCCGAGGTCATTGCGGGACCCCTGGCACGGCTTTACGAGCACTTGTGGTGCTCTGGTGTGGTGCCAGAGGATGAGCATAGGATGGGATGAGAATAGGATGGGATTCAACACTGACAAGTGCAAAGTGATGCACCTGGGGAAGAACCACCAGCACCATACCTACAGGCTGGGGAACTCCCTTCTTGTCAGTACAGAGGCGGAAAAGGATCTTGGAGTCATCACTGATGCCGAGATGAACATGGGCCGGCAGTGTGGGGATGCAGTCGGAAAGGCCAACCGTACCTTGTCATGCATCTACAGATGCATCTCAAGCAGGTCCAAGGAGGTGATACTCCTTCTCTATGCGACACTGGTCAGGCTGCAGCTGGAGTACTGCATCCGGTTCTGGGCGCCGCACTTCAGGAGGGATGTGGACAACATGGAGAGGGTCCAGAGGAGGGCCACTCGCATGATCAGGGGGCAGCAGGGCAGGCCCTACGAGGAGAGGCTACAGGACCTAAACCTGTTTAGCCTCCACAAGAGAAGGCTGAGGGGGATCTAGTGGCCTATTACAAACTAGTCAGAGGGGACCAGCAGGCATTGGGGGAGTCCCTGTTCCCCCGAGTACTACCAGGAGTGACCAGGAATAACGGTCACAAGCTGGCAGAGGATAGATTTAGGCTAGATATCAGGAGGCGCTACTTCACAATCAAGGTGGCTAGGATCTGGAACCAACTTCCAAGAGAAGTGGTGCTGGCTCTTACCTTGGGGGTCTTTAAGAGGAGGCTGGATGAACACCTTGCTGGCGTCGTTTGACCCCAGGACTCTTTCCTGCCATGGCAGGGGGTTGGACTCGATCTGCTCAGGTCCCTTCCAACCCTAGAAACTATGAAACTATCAATGCCATGCTACCACAAAGCCAGTTATTTCCAGTTCTGTACTTGCCCTTTTGGTTATCCTTCCCTTGATGCAGCATCTTATATTTGTCTACACTGAACTGCATCCTCATGTCTCTAGACCACTGCTCCAATCTATCAAGATCCTTTTAAATTCTCTGTCTATCCTCCAATGTGTTTTTAGATCTTCCAAGTTTCACATCATCTGTAAACCTGGTCAGTAAGCTCTCTATTCCAGCATCCAAATCATTAGTAAACACAGTAGACCTAGGGCAGACCCCTGGTGAACGCTGCTTGAAATGTCCTGCCATTCTGACATCAATCTGTTTATAATTAATCTTTGCCTGCAATTACTGAGCCTATTATCTAGATATCTTTCAGTAATTTTACCTAGCCTACATTTCCTCAGTTTGCTTATGAGTTCTTCTGGGACCATAACAAAAGCCTTACTAAAGTCCACTGTGGCCCAATACAGACATTACATTCGTGCCAAGAGAAAAGCCTTTCTTGCCCTTTGGAGCAAGTTTCTAGAAATCTATCAAAAACCCTGGTAGCTCACAATGCATAACCCTAGACAAACTGCCTTATTAGTACACTAGGGGTCTAGAGCTACATTATTTAGCTTAACTGAGTTGGGGGTGAGGGGAGGTCTGGCTCCCAGCTCCAGAGTGGGGCAGGCACATGATGCTAGAGGAGTACAGCTGTTACCCCCACCCAGCCTGGCCACAGACAGCACTGCTCCCTGAAATACAGTCCATAAAGACCCCCACCACCCCCATGGCAGACACTCCATGGCCACAAAGTGCCCCTCACTGTCTTCTATGTATTGCCCCTGCCACCTCAAATGCCCCCCGACTCCACTCTGTCCCTTGTTATTCCATACATTCCCCATGCTCAGCCCCAATCCATCAGACTCCACCATTCCCACTCATGACCGAGTCCTACCCTACCCCCATGAACCCACTGTACCCTGCACAGATTTGTCCCCATCTTGCCCCAGCTCTCCTGACCCCTCACCATCCTGCTCACACCCCACAAGCCCCTCTCTCCACAAAAGCCCCCCCATGGTCCCCTCAAAACCCTTCACAAACAGTTCCCCCCACCCTTCACAACTCCCTGACCATGGCAGTACTGTAACTGCTCCCCCCACCACTTTCTTCCTTCCCCTCAGCATGCCCATAGCTGGCCTCCATTACCCTTCACCCTCAACACACTAAAACAGACAGCTGGGGTCAGGGAAAGACTTGTTTCAGCTGCTTGCATAGCTCCTATGCAAGGGGACCAATCCATCTGGGTGCCCATGCCTGGCTTTATGTCACCCTGGTTGTGCCACTAATTGAGCCTGCCACAGCCTCCCCCATCTGCTGCAAATAACCCAGGGAAGGGTCACCACAGTAATTCAACTCTTCACCTCCCTTTTGCAACTTTCTCCTGCTTCTGATCTCTGTGCCACAGCCACTGAATAACTAGGCCTGCCTTCAACCCTGCCTCTCCCTCCCTTGTCCCCAATTTATCATGGGTTTGAATCCCCTAGGAACAAAGCCACTCAGCAGAGGTTCCTAGATATCTGTACACCTTTATTGGACACCCTGGGGGGTTAGCAGAGAAACATTACCAGGATAATCGTAAAAGAAAGGATAGCTGGATTAATTGAAGATCAAGGGTTGCTGACACCATCAAAGAGGGTGAAGAGCAGAAATCAGGCAGCAAATAAATGAGCCTTGAAGTTAAATGACTCCCACCTGGATAGAAAATGCAGCTGTCTCTGCTGAGCAGTTTGTTTTAAACTGAGGGGAGCACAATTAAAGGGAGGGTGCAACTGCACAACCAACTCCTGCCTCTTTGGATTCACTTCTGGGAATCTAGACGACTTGCTAAATGCACAGCCCTGATTAAACAACATCCATGTCAACCCTTTGACTTTTTGATCCTGGAACTTCATGAGAATGGGGTTCTGAGAAAGCCACTGAGAACATACCTAGTTAAAAAGGTGGAATTCACACACAACCATGGTTAGAAACTTAGCATCCTGATAGAAGATGGTTCACTGTCCTTGCAAGAGATCAGTAACTCATTCATTCTTATCACAGGTCGCAAATCAGGAAGGCCATCTTTAAAGGCAAATGGAATATGGGACACTCGCAAAATGTGCTTTCATCAGCACTGTTAATACCGGGTTGAGATACCGTGTCTGGACAGCTTACTTTAGCAAATTCTGCAACTTGTCAAATATAGTTACTACAACTAGTATGTTGAGCCCTTCTACAAATGAACTTGGAGTGAGTTTAAAGAGACCCAGGGTGCATCTACACATGCACTTGACCATGGAGCAGACTGATTAGCTTTGCTGTAAAACATCGCTGTCTACATGTGAGCTGGTATTAGGGCTCACTAAACTAAATTAATTCTGCAGTAGTATAGTACTGTCAGGGGCATAACTTGCACCTGGTCAGCCCAGTGCAACCCAGCGTCACCCGCTCAGTTCCAAACAGAAGTCAGCAAACAGTACGTGCCAGAAACAGAATGCAATGGTATCTACATCAGGCCTCTGGCTTGCTCAGGATGAAAAGAAAAACAAGTTGGCTCTGTCTTCTCCCCAGTTTTCTTCATCTACACCAAACACCACATGTAGCACGATCAGAGACTGACCTTTTTTATCCATCCCTGCCTGGAGCAAAATACCAAAAATATTTAGTATTAACAGTCATCAAAGGTCTCCAACAGGCAGCCCAGACTGAGCTAGTTGCTTACTTGAACACACCGGCCCAGGGCTTAGTAATTGGTAAGCCTACCACAGCTAATGTATGACCTGGCCACTCTCTGGGCCTTCTGATTGGCTGCTGGGGAGAGCAGCCTTCCTACTGAGTTCCACCTGTAGCAGCAGCCCACAGGAAAGCCAACAGTTCCTCTGAATGTTTAAGCTGGTAAGTCTCTCTGACCCTGTGCTCTCTGCCTTCCTGACCCTGTTCCTGGACTCTGGCTTTTTGGATATTCTTCTTACATCTGGAACTTGGTCTCTGACTTCAAGTTTACCCTAATTCTGGTTCTGACTCTGAATCTGAACCTTGGCAAACCCTGATTCTGGCTCCTGATTCCAGTTCTGACTCCTGGCATACCTTGACTTCAGCTGTCTCCCAACTCAGCCTGATTTCAGCACTGGCTTTTGAGTTCTGAACCTTGACTTGGCCTGCGATTTGAACTCTGCCCCTGGATTTCCCTTTGGATCTGAAAACTTGGCCTCTGATTCCTGACTTGGCCTGTGGTTTGGCTCCTACTCTTCCCCAGTGGCCTAAGCATTATACTAGACTGCTCACAACCCAGTCCTTACAACAATGCTGATAAAAATCACTGTCCGCAGCCATCTTATGAAGATCCACACTGCCGATAGTCATTTCAAAGGCACGCAGCTCAGACCATGACCCAGAAAGGACCATTATGATCAATTAGTCTAAGCTGCTGTATAAAGCAGACCAGAGAGTTTCATCTAGTAATTCTGCCATGTAACATAATGGGGCACTCCTGAACTAAAGCATATTTTTAAAAAGACAGCCAACGTTAATTAAAAAGAAGCCCATATCAGAAAAAGTACCACATTCATGGTAATCTCTTCCAAGTTAGAACAATTGTTGTGAAAATTTTTCATCCTATTTCCACTTTGAATTGTGATGATTTAAATTACCAGCCACTGCACCTTGTTACACTTTTTACTAGATTAAAAAACCCTCTAGTACTACGTGTTCCCCCTACCACACCCCCCCCCAAATAATTGAAGACGATGGATCTGGTTGCCTCTAAACCTAAAGTTTGTTGCGTCTCTTGCTGCAAGGGCTGCTTTGCAGGCCAGAATTTTCAAAACTGTTTTTTTCCATTGTTTTAAAAGTGCAGACACAAAGTCATATTCCACACTTTCTAAAAATGGTCTCATTAATACTGGTTTCTTAGTACTTCCTCCTGCTCATCCAAAGAGCACATTAGCCATTATTAAACATTGTCACATTGTGAACTCATGCTTATTTAGATACCGACAATGACCTCTCACTCCGTGTCACTGCTGTCCAGGATTCCACACACACATGCTGACCCTGAAGTTCATGACTCCATTTACCCATAAGCAGATTTTCTTGTCTGTCAGGTGCAGAGCAAGAAAGATTTGGAGTTTACTGACATCCTTTCCTAAGATTTACTGTCTCTCACTAGAGTTTGGGAGTAAGCACTTCCCTGTTTGTTCACACAGATGTGAATATCATAGTGTCTGCATCAAATCTGTACATAGATTTCTCATGTATGGGAGAAAAAAAAAATCAAAGCCTTGCTGTTGACAACTGTAAGAACTGGATTTTGTAAACAGAAGCTTAAATTTAGGTTCCTAAATCCACCCTATGTTCTCATCTGGCTCTTCAGTGATAACCCTTGATAAGAATGAATGAGTTACTGATCTTAAAAACTTCCACTGAAATTAATAGTTATTAGCTAGTCATTACTTTTTTAAAAGATTAATAAAGTGCCTACATTTGATTTTGGAGCCTAATTTTAAACTACTATTTATGAAAATCTTGGTTCAGCCATGCACTCACAGGAAACCCAAAAAACAGCCAATGAAATTCCTCCTTTACCCACAGCAAGCAACATGAAGAAGTGAAGTGGATGCTACTGTACATCCCCTTCCGTAACAAAGGTTCCAAGTGTTTAAAACAGTGAGAAACCTCATACACTGGGTGACCATAATTATTTTAGGAAATCTGGGACGGGTGGGATGTAAGGGGCAGTGCACACACGCACATGCTAGGGCAGCGCACAGTAGCAGGCAGGGCCGGAGAAGCTGTCAGCAACACGGTGCCTTTCTCACTGCAGCTGGGGCTGCAGGCTGGAGCTGGTAGCAGAGCACTGGCCAGACTGAGGGCGCTATGTGGGCTGATTCATGGCCCTGGCCATCTTGGCACCTGCAGTTGCATGCTGGCCAGGCAGCCACAACTAGCTCTGGCCTTGAGCCCACCCCCCCTTCCTGGTTAGAGCATGGCATAGCCAGGCCTGGCTGGGCTCTGTGTTGGGGCTGTGATTTGGTGTGGTTGGCCTGGCTTGGCAGCACATAGCCAGGATGCAGCTGCAGGGCATACAGAGCCTGTGCAGCACCCCCAGCCCAACCGGCACCCCACCTCTGGCCTGTGCCCCAGCCCAGAACCCTGGCTCTGGTAACAAAGGCACCATACTCCCCACTGCATCTTGACAGCTGCTCTGGCCCTTTCCCCTCCCCTGGCAATATTGCACTCCACCCCACAGCTCCCAGGAGCGGGGTCGGGCAGGACAATGCAACACACACTCCCCTGACCCCCCCACCGCTCCCAGGTTCCTGCCAATCCAGGACTTTTGATTAATTTTCTCCAATGGCTGGGACAATTCGACAGCCTATAAAATCTGGGACTTTTCCACCCAATCTGGGACATGTGGTCACCCTACCTTATACAGTGCCCAGATATTATGTTTTAGAACAATATATAGTTCAGCAGTGCTGAATGAGGCATCCTCCAGGGACCTGGCTAAGGCAAACTTGAAAAAGAGGATAATTTTGGTCACTTTTTACATTGAATATTAGAAAATAAAATGGTTAAACTCACCTCAACAAGCTGCTCTTTCTGCTCTGACAGCTTACAAGTATATTCTGCTACAGCTTCCAGATTTCCTTCTACTCCTGTGATTTTCAGCGTCTTCAAAACCATATGATCCGCATGGTATTTTAACAGCTCTGCTGCCATTGATGTGGCTGCACTATGAAGCTTTAGAAAGGGTAAGAAAAAAAAATAAAACTTTAAAAGAAAAAGCAATGCATCTGAACCTAATCTGCAACAGTAATAATAATAAAACCTTAGAGAAAGTGAAGTCCAGAAGATGGTCAAAGTAGGCTGGAATACAGAGAAACTAAAAAAGGTGCCTTCTGGTGTAAAATTTAAAGTCTACCAAGAATGACTTACATGGGACTCCATTCAGCATCTTTACTTATATGTAGCATAAAATCCACTTCACTAATGTAATAAGAGTATTCAAGTCTATATGGACAGACAGAGAGCAGCTGAGCATAGGCAGCTATGAGACTACATCTCTGGGGCAATTATCCAGAAAGGATAATTCCTCCACACCAGCTGTACAGGTGTATTTTCCAGTTCAGTGTAAACATGGATCAGTGGCCCTTCATCTTACGAAACTGACCTGGCCATGGAAGACCTTGCTTTGTATATAGGTGGTGGTGAGGGATGTGCAGAGGTAGAGCCAGATTCAGGCACTGGCATCTGAAGTAGTCATAAGTACCCCAGCACATGGAATAATATGCCAGAAGACTCTCACCTTCCATTGAAATAATCCCACTATTCCTATTGCAAAGAAGAGCTCGAAAACATGACCACACTGTCATCCGATTTAGGACAAAAAACCAAAGAATAAAACAAAAGCCCAAACCATCTTCTTCCAGTGGAAGAAAGAGGAGAAACAAGGGGCAGGGGGAACAGCTACAGGAGGCTCTTGGGAGATCTCCATACAAATCACTTCACATGATCCTAAACATGGGGCCAGGCTTCCCTATAAAATATGTCACCCAATTCTGGTTAACTCATGAGACCCATAGGAAGCCAAAACTATTCATGAGACCCTGCACCTCTGCTATCTGGAGTTCAACAGCCCCATTCTCCAAGTGTCTGCCAGCAGCATAAATTCACTATAACAACATTATTAGGGACCTTCCCTGGCCACTATTATAGTGGAGCCAACTTATCCAATTTTATCCTGAATCTTACAATATTTAGTGTTTTCTTAAAGCTGTTTGCTGGACACAGGAGAATACATGAGAATTACGTATTTTAAAAGATTAAGTTCTCTGATGGTTGCAGAGAAAACCTTGAAAATGTACCACAGAGCATCCTACTGGCACAGAAGCAAGACAACAGAAACAAGACTTTTTTTCTGATTCAAGATTTTTTGGGTTTGATTCTTAATATTTGGAATTAGCAATATTGGAGTCATTCTTGAGACCCAGGAGTGAAGGAGTGGGGCTGGTATGGACGAAAAAAATGCAGCCCCAAGTTGTTGCATCTTTTTTTCGATCAATATACATCCTCTGCCCTAGTTCCTGTGTACAGCCCAAACCGACAGACCTTCACAAAGTCTAAAGGACAGACAAGAGTACTGATGCTGCTGTGACTCAAACACTAACACAAATTTAAAAAACTGGCTATTTTGAGTTTTCTATGCATCATATACAATTATTCTCAGAAGAAATAAGCCAAACTGTAAGCCTACTCATTATACAAAATAATTCATTTTTCCATGACATCAAGCTATGTGAAAAAACAAATAGAACACTGAATTCAATCAAAAGCCTGAATATTTCATTTCATAGCTTTCCTTATTTATCACAGTGATGTTGCATTCTTCCTGACACACATCTGTTGAACGCTACAAATAAAATGCATGAATAACCACTAACAGCAGTTTAAATACGCAATTAGAAATTTCCTGGAATAACAGTTTAACTAAACAGCCTTGTATTATTAGCAATAATACATGTGCACTAAGATTGCATGCTCAATCAGTGGCAGGCTCATCACAAAAGCAGAGTTCCAGGCAACCTAATCTGTCCTGCTTCTCAAGTACCTCTACACTTGGCTGCAGACTTCATTTCCATTTCTGCATGTTAAATGGGGACAGTTCTTTAATCTCCCAAAGCATTAAGCTGATGACTTCATTGAAGTTCTTGAAGCATTCAGATACTGGTACGATATACAGGCAACCCCCGCTTAGTGCTCTTAATTGGTTCCTGAAAAACCGAGCATTAAGTGAAATGAGGGTTAAGTGAAACCAGAAGTATCTGACAACCCAAGATGGTGACCGCAAGCATTATAATGAAACTCACTGAGCGCTAAGTAAAATCAGGTATCAATTTCAAGTGAGCATTATAGCGAAATAGTGCTAAGTGAAACAGCATTAAGTGAGGGTTGCCTGTATGAGCAATATATAAAAAGCCTGTAGACATCTTGCATATATGGTTGGAAAATTTTCCTCCACAATTCTGCTTCTATCCAAAATGAATTGCAGGACAGCACTTTATACTACTTCTACACTGGTAGAAATTTTACTCAGAAGTGAAGAGAGTCTGTGAAACTACTTGCTAGGTGCATCTACATGAAATGCGTTACCATGCAATACACTATTGACTATGTGATGTGGTAAAGGGTCACCGTCTACACACGTAGGCACTTACTCCGCAATTAGTCTACTGCGTGGTTAGTCTGCCCGCCCCCGCTGACGACTCATTGCCGCTGCCAGGTTATAGTGGAGGCTCCAGCCTGCAGGCCACCTGTGCTGGAGAACACTGCATGGAAACCAGTGCTGACTCCTGGCCCAGCCCCACCACCTGCTTGCCTGTCCCATGCCGTGCCCCTGTACTGTGTGCTCTAGACACCTGTCCAGACCCAGCAGCACCTGGACTCTCACTAGCAGCCCCTGAGTGTGGTCAAGGAAGCCATACTGGTATCGTCCTGTTGCCACACACTGCATCCCAGGAGTCTAAGCAGCCCCAGGATGAGACTGTGGACCCGACTGCAGTGTGAGGTGAGGCCGAGGTCCAGAGCCAGTTCACCTGGGGTGGGCGCTCCAACACTGAATCTGAGGCATAGTGGTTTGCATGCAGGAGCATGGGCACAACTGGTCAGTGCGCCAGTGCTGCATAAAGGGCAAGGCCCTGCAGGCACAGTGGATCCACGTCACTGACCACAACCACCAGTTGGGGGCTGCCTGCAGAGCCATGTCCTTTATGCAGCAGCTATATTACACCCTTATGCCCTGGGATCCAGGGTGGAACTGTGCTGCGTTCTCCAGCATGGGTGGCCTGCTGGACCTCTGCTGCAACCTGGCAGCAGCGATGAGTTATCAGTGGCGGAGGGCCCCTTAGGGCACCAGGAGCATGTCCTACCGCAATCCCTGCTCCCAACATCATCCAGTACCTCTGGCAGCCCAGGGCAGATGGTACCACCCACCCTCATGAGTTCCAGCTTCTCCCCAGAGAGGGCCCCTGCCTGGCCAGCCAGGTGCTGCGCCTCTGCACCCCAGGATGCCACTGAGATTTGCACAGTCACCACCA